GATAGTAGTCAGATGTTCTTACTTGTATCCTATAAATTAAAATACAGGTAAATGGTTGGAATTTTATTGCTAGACTGTACTTCTGGCTGCAAAAATACAGTTTTGGTTTTTTTTAATATGGGTGCTTAGATTATAAATTGTAGCCAGGTTCTTGTTACATCCTTGAAAGTCCACTGCCTTAATTGGGTTTACATAGATATGCCTAAGAGTGAAACACCTTATATTTGATTAAGATTCAGTTTTAATTAGAGATGTAAGCAAATAGTCGACTACCCATTAAGCAAATTCTTATCAGGCAGTCGATGGTTTTTTTTAATATGGGTGCTTAGATTATAAATTGTAGCCAGGTTCTTGTTACATCCTTGAAAGTCCACTGCCTTAATTGGGTTTACATAGATATGCCTAAGAGTGAAACACCTTATATTTGATTAAGATTCAGTTTTAATTAGAGATGTAAGCAAATAGTCGACTACCCATTAAGCAAATTCTTATCAGGCAGTCGAGTAAGAGAGGCAGCCAGGGGGGAGCACAAGTGGGTGCTGGGGGGAGCTGACTTAATTCCATCAACTACTCGATTTGCTGATTAATAGAAATTTAACATCCCTAGTTTTAATATATTTCTCGCAATATGCACTTTTTGAATGCATATTATAGACAAAAACTATATTCCTTGTTTCGCTTTCAGGTTCTCATGTGATATGGTCCCTTTTTAAAATTTACTTTTGGGCACCAAGATTATGCCAGAAATTTTCTAGGTCTGGTTTTAATTACATGGAAAATGACTAGGTGAACAGGAGGTTGTCATCAGCCAACAGGTTTCTAATCTAGCTAGATTAATTATATCCATCTCAGTTAAGGGTGTAGTTTTATTTCCATTATGAACTGAGGAATTTCAATCTGCACTTAGATGCAAGTGGCATGAAGAGAATGATATCCTGTTCTGTGCCTTAGCATCCTGCAAGAAAACTGCGTGAGTACCATGAAGGGGATGTGTCTGATATATGCAGACAGTTCTTGGCTTTTGGACTCTGTAGCCCTGGGTTTCTGGCTTCTCTAGTTCCTCTGAGGAAGGTTGTTCCCAAGTTGGGGTTTTTTTCTAATGGCTTTCCTATTGCCCGTGATAGCTCTTCATTAGTGTCCTTTATTCTTCTCTGTAGTTTAAATATTAGCAATGTGATAATAACTTAATGTTACCCCATGTTATCAATGCCTGCGTAGCCATAGTTTGATTTCTATATTTGAAGGGGCAAAAGGTTTAATGTTGTTAGTGGGTATAGGTCTAACTTTTGGATTTATCCATTGTTTGTGATACTTAAATTACAGTGTATTTGATCACTCTTCATGTTTTATTTTAACATAATTATTTGCCATGTTTACAAGCAATCACTTTAAAAATCAGTATTTGCATAACAAATTGACAGAACAGAACCAAACAAAATACTGTAATGTAACTCTGAATCATGTCTTCCTGGTTTTTAGAGATACATAAAGGTGCCATACACACATCAGACAAATGCAAACCTGTCCCCTTTGCCCATCTGCCTAAGTACATTCCATGCACATTTAACTTTCCTTTTGCTCTGTCACTCATCTGGATTTGACACAGTCAGTGCTGTAGCTGCACAGACCCTTGGGAAGCAGATCAGATCTTGTATTCCATTTGCTGCAGTGTTACCAGCACTGATTAGAATATGACCGCTGTGCCTAGATGCCTGTGTTTCTGGTTCAAGTCTCTCATAGGCTAGTAAAATTGAAAAGGCCCTAAGCTGGAGCCCTGCTGTAAGAAATCAGGATCTGCTCTCCTGCCCTTACATAGCTCACGTGGCTGACCTGGATGCACAGAGCATCTTGTGCCTGCTCTCCCTCCACCTTGTAAATTGTCTCTATTGTGTATCCAATTTGGGGAGGCAATGACACCCCTCCCCAATCTCTGTCCATGAATGCCTCTGCTTTGGTGGGTGTCTGGTGACTCTAATAGCGCTAGCATAATAAATTAGCGCCCCATCTTGGATTGTGCTTCCTGCTTTAGAGTTCACTGTGCTTTTTATAGTAGCAGCCTAGGGTTCCTATGTTGGGATTGAATGTAGTAAGGACTTTGTACCAATTTCTATTCTAGAAACTCACGCATGGCCCTGTTTGCTGTGCTTTTTGGGAGTAAAAGTAGGAGTTATTTGGGCAAATATCCTTTTAAATAACTGCATTATTTTACCAGCAGTTGGATATAGTAGCAGTCTTCATGCTCAAACTGATTTAATAATGCTGTGCACCATTAATCAATTGCCATGTTTCACTCGGAGGTCACTGCATTTTAATGATGGGGGCAAAAGATTCTTGTAGCTTCATATATAATTTTTAAAGCAGGTTGTCTTTTTTTCTGGGTGAATGAATGTTATGATGTAGTCTTCATAGCTCACCTTTCCTCCCTACACCCATACACACCTCAAAGTGTTGGTAATAGCTTCTGTATGTCCTTCACCATAAAAAGAGGTGGGGCTGTGCTGCCTTTGTATATAAAAATACAGCACAAAATCTTATTACTCTTTTTTTTTTTATTTTGCTCAATGTAGCTATTGCATCAGTAACACTCTGGCAAGTGTGTATGGATTCTCACTCACAGCAGCTCACCTACCTCTTCAGGACTACGACTCCAGCAACAACATAAATCCCAAGATGGTGGTATTGGATGCTGGCCGTTTCCAGGTCATCTTGTTTAAATTTGTGCTGAATTATTTCAAGCTGTTATGAATACTCTTTTCCTGAAGGTGGCTTGATTTCTTCCTGGGGCTGTGTAGTTGATCTCCCAGTGTCAGATACTCACTTTTACAATAGGTGACATCCTTGTTAATACTGCACATAGGGTATTGGGAAAGCCAACCAGGAAAGTTCTCCACTATTGGTTAGACATCTTTCTGAAGTTTGTCCCAACCCTTTGCTGCAAAAAACTCTGATCTGTCCATGAGGTCCTCCAAAATACACCTGCAGAAATGCCACTTCTGGAATAAGAGGCAGGAGAATTAACCTGTTTGAATCCTATGCACGTAGGCAGCCAAATATTGTGTATGTTTTACTGTCTCGCCTAAATCTTTGCCTAGCACTCTTTGGTATCACGAGTAGGTATGGTGGATATTCTGTGAAAGAGAACACTTGTCTGTTCTGAGAGGAGGGATTTGAATTTTTTTTTTTTTTTTTTTTTTGCTACAGAAGCTGAGGGCTGAGAATCCTGGTTATAATCGATACTTCAGTTCTCCAGTTCAGAAACAAGCAGCTTCCACATCTGCTGGTGAGTTTGAGACTTTCATATTTGGGAAAGGAAAGAAATGAGAATTAAGTCTTTGTCACATGACTATGGCACTCTCCTTCTTTAGCCCTCTTGTCTCTGAATACAGTAAATGGCCAGATGATCATCACAATACCTCTCTTGGCTTCTGCTGATTCATGTGTACAGTTATAGATTTGGTTAAACTAATATCTGATTTCAGCCATATGAGCCAGCACCCATTGTACTGGAAAGAATTCCCAGAGCCAAAAAGGACTTCTCCAGTTCATTGTGCTCATGCTGTTACCTCTATTTCCCTGTAGACCTCCTCTCAGCAGACACCAGGGATGAGACAAGATTTCTTAGTGGGTATTTGGGGTAGAATCGTCTTCCCAACACTTTTTCTTGTATATAAAGCACAGTACATTCAAACTCAATGAATACTTGTTGCAATGTGACTTCCGTTATAATTCCTGACTCCTTAGAAATCTGCCTTTGGGGGCTAAAATACTGTTTAGTTGGGTAGAGCCCCAAGGTTACATGTATGGAAAATATGAGCTGCATTTGCCCAGGTATTTCTGAGTTAAGTGATCAAAGAAATAGATCTTCTTTCTAAAACAAAAAACGGGACTATGTAGCACTTTAAAGACTAACAAGATGGTTTATTAGGTGATGAGCTTTTAAAACATCTTCTTAGTCTTTAAAGTGCTACGTAGTCCCGTTTTTTTGTTTCAGCTAGACTAGACTAACACGGCTATATCTCTATTACTAATCTTCTTTCTAGGCCTCAGATTATGACCTTTGCACAAGGGTAACTGAAATGTCAGATCATTGCTAGTTTTCACTGAGGGCTAGTAGCTGTGAGTTTGCAAGAAAACTGAAATCTGTGTTGAGTTTTTTTTATTGTACATGCAATCTTGCTGTATTTCAAGTTGCAAGATTGTGGAGTTGGACCAAACACTGTTTACTTGCTGCATAAAGTAGGGTTTTCTTTAAACTTTTTTGGTTACTTCTGTTAAATCAATAAAACAAAAGCAGAACAATTGAGAACTTTTCCTTTGTATACTCTTGGCAGTGTTAATCCACATATATAGCATATACTGTGCCAAATTCTGCTTTTGCTCTGTATAACCCCACCAGAGACAGTGATTTGCTTGGAGCAATGGACAATGGGCCAGTTTCTGCTTTTGAAGTTCAATAGATGCGTGCAATGTGGGTGCACTAACATTGCTAGGAGAATCTAACTCAGGCCTTTCCGGACTCTTGTGCTTAAATGCTCAACTTTAACATTGCCTTGATGAAAATTTACTTTTAACTTGTAACTTTATACACAGAGAGACATCTGAATGCCTAATAGAAAATGTGAAATGGCAAAAAAGGTTCCACGAAACTTAAGTTTCCAGACCAAAGTAAATAATCTTATTAGCAGCAAAATAGTTGTTAATAACATGTTCCAGCTTGGGTCTACACCAAGAGTGGGCAATAAGCTGGAGGTGGTTCACCAGGGTTTGCCCCTGGTGTGCTTCTGGTTCTTTATTCACCTGCATGTTCACAGGTATGGCTGCTTGCAGCTCTAGTTGGCCACGGATCAATGTTCCCACCATTCTCAGTCCTGGTCCATGCCACTTCCCACAGCTCCCATTGGGAACAGTGATCTGCAGCCAACAGGAGCCAGAAGTGGCCGTACCTGTGGAGGCGTAGGTAAATAAAGCACCAGTAGGCTGCCAGGGGCTAATCCTGGAAAACCATATCCGGTCACTTATTGCCCACGCTTAGTCTGCATCCAGGATGAAAGCTGTCATTCACTCCTTTCTCAGATCTAGTCTGTCAGCTGTCTGTAAATTCTAGCAGACATCACTGTATTCACACTCTGTTCACGCTTTTAAGTCTGGTTTACTTTACCTACATAAGAGCTAGAAAATTAGGTTTTGTTTATCTCATTTGCCTTGTTTCCAAGCAGTGATGTAGCTGCATTGATGAAAACTGTTAGTGTAGATGAGGTAAACTAGGACTTGCTGTGTTGAAATTATAGGAGACAAGTACCCATTAAAGGTTTGCCTAAGGGAAGTCAAACCAGCGACTAGAATTGGTTCAGTTCTTTGTGTAGATCTGGCTGGGGCAGGAAGGGATTTAAAATGAAATTTTAGGTTCTGGAGCACAAGATGCCAAACAGGGAACAATATCAGTTCTCTGACTTGGCCTGATTCAACCCCTGCACTAAGACCACAAAGAACAAGTCATGAGCTTTTTTCAGAAGGGTGACACTGAGGCATTTGATGTACATCAAGAACATTTCAGAGTCCAAGACACTGTTTCTTGGTTAGGACAATCAAAAGGTGCAGCCCCACTAGTTTTCATCTGGAGCAAGGGAAAGTAGGACAGCAGAACTCTTGAATTGTGAATATTTTAAGAGCTGCTTGACTTGCAAAATGTACTGGTTAATTTCGTAGGTGAACGTCCAAGTGGAGTGAGATCACCATGTAGAACATGTACCATGCGAGGAAGAGGAATCACTCGCTTGCTGGAGAGTGTCTCCAGACTTTCCAAGTCCTCCGACAACTGAAAGCCTGCTCTGTCTCCTTACTTTACCAGGAGAACTGCACATCCTGCTTTTCTGTACTCCCATTGTAGTCTGGGACTTCACTAGACTGCCATTGCTTTCTCACCTCTGTATGCAAAATCATAAAATACATTTCCCTTCCCTTGACCCAATTTAACAGTTCCCTTAGAATGACGACGAACCATTAACTGAGGTAGAAGTTTGCTTCAAGTAGAAGAAAATCCTGGTTTTGTCTATAAAAACTATTTTGAATTGGCAACTTCTTGCTCTCTCTCGTGTAAATTCATCCCCATTTCCTTTGCTGGGTAGTGGGAGGAGAATTGCAAGAAAGGGTTGTGGTCAGTAACTGCATGTTAAACATTCTTCTGATCTTCTGGTGGTTATATAGTGTTAAATTCATTATTTGAATGATAAATTTCTTTAATCTCCCTAGCACCATGGTCTCATCCCCACTCCCACCCCTTTGTTAGATGTTGGAAGATAGTCTTCTCTACATATAGCCATATAAAATGATACGGTAGCTGGGAGGCATTCTAATACTGAAAGAATGGGTGGAAATGTCTCAAAGGTCTAAATTCTTCCTGGGTGGCAGGATGGATTGAATAGTGGAGTTGGGAAAGTAAAGAGACTAATATTTGTTGGTGGAAAATCTTCCTTTTGTTTAAAACTTGCTATGAAGGAGTCTTGTTCTGATGGGCATTGAAAATACGACAGGGTGACAGGGGTATTGGCTTTTCTCTGTAGCTGTGCTGGTGAATACTGGTGTTATGCTACATTGTTATGAACCTCAAGGTACAAGGAGGAGCTGATGATAAAGTTTGTAACTTCTCTCTTTAAAAGTAATCCCCAAGCCATTAGTCTTTTGTACAATTTCAGATGCCAAGGAGGCCTGGAGTAAGTGCTGGCTATTAGCATTTTGGAGTACCTGTAAGAATGAGAGTGAATGTAGAAACTTTATCGCATTTTATTAGAGAATTGAATGCCATACCTCTGAGGAAAGAGAGGAGTTTTAGCAGTTTCCTGAAAAGTTGTTTGTCTTCTGTAAATTATTTTCTAATCTTATGTTTTAAGGCAGTTGCCTTTAGAAAGAAACAAGCTCTTTTTTTCTTTTAACTTCATTTGAGCTGTTCCATCGTTCACTCCACCTGAAGTTTCTCTTATGTGATAATTCCATAGCAATTAATTGTAGTGTTACAAAATGTAATGTGTCCCTGGTAGGAAGCAAAATGTAGATAAGTTAACTCTTCTGGCACTTATGAAACCTTTAATATGCTTATCCTTATAAGGAGCTTAGACACTACAATGATAAGTGGTAAGATAAGTGCTTGGATAGGTACTGCTGCATCTAGAAAGTAGCATCTTTTGTACATAAGCTACGATATACAAGATCACTGAACTGCCTTGATACTTCCTACCTGTAAGGCCAACCTATATGCCCAGGAAGCTTCATTGGATGATTCCAAAGTTTCATGACGCTTTCAAAAGAAGCTTTCCCTCCACTTGACAGGTCTCCCTTTTCCAATGTTAGTAATGGTCCTTTATTAGGTGGGAGATCAGAAAGCCTTTGAAACTGAGTTTCTGGGTGTAAGCATCTGGAAATATTTGATGTGATCATTGTGAAGAAGAAACAAGACTCCAGTCATGTTTGGATGACACTAAAGGTTTGTTCCTATTCAGAGAACTTGGAAGTGTTGATTACATCATTATAGTTTCACTGGTCCAGATGTTTTCTTAACGAAGAGAAGCTGTTAGGCTAACATTATCTTTACGAACACCACTGCTCCTTCTCTGCTCCCCCAATTCACTCAAATTTTGGTCATCATTTGGCTGTTTTGAGAATTGAACATTGTAATAAAATTCTGTTTGGTTTTGATTATATTGTTTGTGCAGAAGACAAAGTATTTCTCTTTATTAAAAAAATAAACTTTCTTGGTTCACAGTATCCATTGTATCAATCTTGCAAATAAAGCAAAAAGTAATGTAAATGTGATTATTGGCATAACATCTAGATGTCATGACAACTAAGATGTTGCTTTGCAAAAAACCAGAAATTTAGATTTAACATTCCCACAAGTCTACTTTTCTGCATCTTTGCATTATAGTAGTATACAAATTCTACAATATACATTTATACACCATAGGTAGTGAACTGTAAATTCAAGACCGTCACTGTTTTATCACAATGTCCAGCAAAATGAGATACTGTCTTTCTACTGTAATATAAATATTAAAATAGATGACTCAGAGTGTTTCACACTTAAGATGGATATCGTGCATTTTGCATCGCTACAGTACGTGTGTTGTATAGAAGAGGATCATGGTGGTAGATGTGAGCGGTTGTGGTGAATGTTCCCATTGCATCTGGTGCTCTGATTTCCTCGCTTCTGAATAGCTTGATATTTTAGCTTTACGAATTCAACTTTTGCATATACGTGGTGGGGGGAATGTAGTTGTCAACTAAACCATCATTAGCGGGTGGGTTTTTTTTCCGTTTTAAAAGTGTGTAATGCTGAAGGTCATCATTACAAACAGTCTGCTAATACACAGACTGTTGTAATTGAAAGCTGCAGCAAGTCCATGCAAACTTTCAGTCATGTTGTCATGGAAATGTGCTAGGGAAATAACAAGACAAAGGGAATATAGCATCTGGGAAGAGTTTGAGTGATACAGCCTGATTGCTTTAAACATTGTTTTTCACCATGTGTAAAGTACATGCTTAATATTGTGTGGGTGTGTGGATGTTCAAGCTCTATACAAATTAAACTGTCTTTAAGTGTCTCCCTTCCACAAGCCACCTTAATTAACTACTTTAGTCAGACCTGACTCATTGCCTTCCTGCTAATGTGGGTTGTCTCTTGGCTCGGTCCAGTGACACTGATGGGTGACAACCTCTTTTAAACTAAGACTGTATCAAAGAATTCACTTTACTAAAATACGGTTCTTAGTCAAGTATGACACTCCCCTCTGCTTGCCCTTTCAGAAATATTGGCCAGAGAAACTGTCTGAGAGTTATGAAAATGGAGTGGAGTCTTAAAGAGAGCACATTAAGAAAATAAGAACCTCCATACTGGATCAAATCAAAGGTCCATCTAGCCCAGTATCCTGTCTTCCCACAATGGCCAATGCCAGATGCCCCCAAGGGCATGAGCAGAACAGGTAATCATCTAGTGATCTCCCTCGTGTCATCCATTTCCAGACCCTGAGAAACAGAGGCTAGGGACACCATTCCTACCCATTCTGGCTAATAAGTAATGATGGACCTAACCTCCATGAATTTATCTAGTTATTTTGTGAATTCTGTTAATGTCTTAGTCTTCACAACATCTTCTGGTTGACTTGCGCTGCGTGAAGAAGAACGTCGTTTTGTTTGTTTTGAAGCTGCTACCTATTAATTTCATTTGGTGACCCCCTAGTTCTTATGTTATGGGGACAGTAATTAACTCTTCCTTATTCTGTTTCTATACCTGTCATGATTTTCTAGACCTGTATCATATCCCCCCTTAGTCTCCCCTTTTCTAAGCTGAAAGGTTCTAGTTTTTTAATCTCTCTTCATATGATACTCATTTCAAGCCCCTAATCATTTTTGTTGCCCTTTTCTGACCCTTTTCCAATGCCAATATGTCTTTCTTTGAGATGAGGCGACCATGTCTGTATGCCGTATGCAAGATGTGGGCGTACCATGGATTTATATACAGGCAATAAAATATTTTCTGTCTTGTTTTCTATTGCTTTTTAAATGATTCCTAACATTGTTTGCTTTTTTTGATTGCTGATGTACATTTAGTGGATGTCTTCAGAGAACTATCCACAATGACTCCAAGATCTCTCTTGAGTGGTTATAGCTAAATTATTCGACATCATTTTGTATGTATAGGTGGGATTATTTATTCTAATGAGCATTTATCAGTATTAAAATTCATTTATCATTTTGTTGCCCAATCACTCAGATATCTCTAGTAGATTAGTAAGGCATGATTTCCCTTTACAGGAACCATGTTGACTTTTCCCAACAAATTATGTTCTTCTGTGTGTCTGAAAATTCTATTCTTAACTATAATTCCAACTAATTTGCCCAGTACTGACGTTAGACTTACCGATCTGTGATTGCCAGGATCACCTCTAGAGCCCTTTTTTAAACATTGGTGTGTCTATCTTCCAGTCATTAGGTACAGAAGCCGATTTAACGGATCGGTTACAAACCATGGTTAATATTTCTGCAGTTTCACATTTGAGTTCTTTCAGAACTCTTGGGTGAATGTCATCTTGTCCCAGTGACTTGTTACTGTTAAGCTTATCAATTTGTTCCAAAACCTCCTCTAATGACACCTCAATCTGGGACAGTTCCTCAGATTTGTCACCTAAAAAGAATGACTTAGGTTTGGGAATCTCCCTAACAGCCTCAGCCATGAAGACCGAAGCAGAGAATTAATTCAGTTTCTCCTCAATGACTTTGTCTTTGAGTGCACCTTTAGCATCTCTATCGTCCAGTGGCCCCACTGGTAGTTTAGCAGGCTTCCTGCTTCTATTTAAAAAACATTTTGCTATTACTTTTTGAATTTTTGGCTAGCTGTTCTTAAAACTCATTTTTGGCTTTCCTTGTTATATTTTTACACTTGATTGGACAGAGTTTATGCGCCTTTCTATTTTCCTCACTTGGATTTCACTTCCACTTTTTAAATGACTTTTTATCTCTCACTGCTTCTTTTACTTGGTTGTAAAGCCACAGTGGCACTTGTTTGGTTCTCTTACTGTGTTTTTTAATTTGGGGTATTCATTTAAGTTGGTGCCTACATTATGGTGTCTTTGAAAAGTCTCCATTTAGCTTGCTCGTATTTTACTTTTGGTATTATACTTTTAATTTCTGTTTAAATAACCTCCTCATTTTTGTGTAGTTTCCCTTCCTGAAACTAAATGCCACTGTGTTGGGCGGCCGAGATATTTTTCCCACCGTGGAGATGTTAAATTTTATTACATTATGGTCACTATTTCCAAGCGGTCCAGTTATATTTACCTCTTGGACCAAATTCTGTGCTACACTTAAGACTAAATCAAGAATTGCCTCTCCACTTGTGGTTTCCAGAACCAGCTGCTTCAAGAAGCAGGCATTTAAGGTATCAAGAAACTTTATCTCTGCATATGAGGTGACATGTACCCGTTCAATATGGGGATAGTTGAAATTTCCCACTATAGTTGAGTTTTTTTTTTAAATTTTTATAGCCTTTCTAATCTCTCTTAGCTATCATAATCACTATCGCTATCCTAGTCAGGTGGTCGGTAATATATCCCTGCTGCTATATTCTTATTGTTAGAACATGGAATTACTACCCATAGAGATTCTGTGGAACATTTTGGTTCATATAAGATTTTTACTTCATTTGATTCCACATTTTCTTTCATGTATAGTACAGCTCTCCCCACCAGCATGACATGATCTGTCTTTCCAGTACATATCTTGGTATGACTGTGTCCCATTCCACCAAGTTTCTGTGATGCCTGTTGTATCTATGTCCTTTATTACGAGTTACTTTAGTTCACCCATCTTATTATTTAGACTTCTAGCGTTTGTGTGTAAGCACTTTAAAAAATTGTCACTATTTAGCTGTCTGCCATTTCTTGATGTGCTTGAATGGCTCTCTTTCATTTGACTGTTTGATTTTATGCATATTTTATCATCTTCCATCCTCTCCTCCTTACTAGAACATAGAGATTCTCTATTAATAGAGTCTCCCCTAAGAGATGTCTCTGTCCATGTGCTCCTTCGCACGCGTCTGCTTTCTCCCAGTCCTTAGGTTTTAAATTGCTCTACAACCTTTTTAATGGTAAGTGCCAGCAATCTGGTTCCATTTTGGTTTAGGTAGAGCCCATCCTTCCTGTATAGATTCCCCCTTTCCCAAAAGTTTCCTCAGTTCCTAATAAATCTAAACCCCTCCTCCTTACACCATTGGCTCATCCACACATTGAGACCCTGCAGTTCTTCCTGCCTACCTGGCCCTGCACGTGGACCTGGAAGCATTTCAGAGCCTGGGTTTCAGTCTTTCCTTGAAGCCTAAACTTGGTCTCCCTGACCTTTCTTCTGCCCTTCCCTATGTCATTGGTACTTACATGTACCATGACCACTGGCTCCTCCCCAGCATTACACATAAGTCTATCTAGCTGTCTTGAAAGATCTGCAGCCTTTGCACCAGGCAGGCAAGTCACCATACTGTTGTCCCGGTCATCACAAACGCAGCTGTCTACCTTTCTAATGATCGAATATCCCATTACTAGCCTTTTCCTAATGACTGGAGTTTCCTTCCCCCAGAGCTGTGTCCTCAGTGCAAGAGAATACTACAGCATCATCTGGAAGGAGGGTCCCAACTAAAAGACCACTTCCCTTTGCTCCAGTTGACTGTTCTCTTTATACTGTTGTCCCGGTCATCACAAACGCAGCTGTCTACCTTTCTAATGATCGAATATCCCATTACTAGCCTTTTCCTAATGACTGGAGTTTCCTTCCCCCAGAGCTGTGTCCTCAGTGCAAGAGAATACTACAGCATCATCTGGAAGGAGGGTCCCAACTAAAAGACCACTTCCCTTTGCTCCAGTTGACTGTTCTCTTT